ATAAGAGATGATGTCGGAATATGACAGAAATTGTCCTAGGGAAAGAAAGGGTTCAAACTAGTGCGTTATATAAGTTAATTAAAAAATTATTAATTGTTTTATATAGTTAGTTAAAGAATATTTTCTAAAAGTCTTGTGTGGCGAATCTAGCTAAAGGTTATTCCCCGAAATTTGTGATGGAAGATTTCATACAAAACATAAAAAGTCTGACAATTGCTATGTTGGTCTAATTTAAAATTGATATATTTCGTTTCAGAAAAGTTTTCGAGGATTTGTTATATCGCTTTTCTAAAGTTCTCGTATGCTTGGAAAATCTTGAATTGTCTATTTAAAGTATTTTATCTCTTCTTATGTTCGCACTGCCTCAAATATGTATAAGTAATGACAAATTGATCGCGATCAGGTATAGTATCTAGATATAGGTATTGGGAAGAATTCGAAATTCAAATATCGACTTATGATAGGTATTAAGTACTTTCAATATGATTTGGAAACGATGAGTAATATCCGAATCTGTAATATATCCGAGAAATTCGTAAAACTAGTAGGTCATTACTATCATAGACATTACACCCGTTTCCGTCTGGCAGGGAATACCAAACGAAAAGTCGTGTCATACGACGTAACACGAAAAATTTGCATACTGTCTAAACGGCAATTTACATGGAAATGTATGAGGGTCTAAGAAGCACTATATACATTGTCTAGTTAAACCGTAGAAATTAGTGCATCGCAGAAAATACTTAAATATATAATGTCGAAATTATGAGTTGAAATGAAGATAATTATAGAAAAATGTACAATAGGCTTTATGCAACCTATGATACTAGTCATAGAGACTTTACATTATAAGAAATATACAAAATCCTAGCATTATCTTACGCTCGCCATCAATTGAAACCATATACACGTCAACAATCATTTAAAGCCCCACGCAACGAGATGTCCATCGATCTTACCTCCTATTTGTCAAGAACCACGTTTTTCCTACCCTTTCAAAATGCAAACTTCTGAACCATTTTAAACACAAATCCATCTATGGGGTATTCCCGATACAAATCGTTACACCATTGTAATCTCTGGTTTCGATAATGGAGGTGTATAAATTCAAGTCCAATTAATGCTAATACATTTGTTCAAAAAAAAATTTTATTCGATTACAACTCTAAATGTGTGCTGATAATCGAAGCCCGATAAAGAGATCTTAAAAAACTTGCCTCAAGCAATACTGGCAACTAGAATTACTGCAGTTGCTTCTGGCAAATAACGTTGATTTCGATTTTGTATATCATTCTAGTTCGTCACAATAGTAAGTCATGATAGTATTCAAGTGTAACGGATTTCTCGATAAATCGTCTACCTGTAACATCACTCTGATTGATTACTGGATGTAATATAAAAGTCAATAATGGAATAGACTTAATTTATTTCCAAGTCAGCTAACTAAACTATGCTCGTTAATTCGAGCTACCACTTGCTATGTCATGCTTAACGACACACTCTAAATTGTTGCTTGCCCAATCCGAGCCTTATATAGAAAATCTGTAACAAAACATATTGCTTCTAAGAACATTCTGGACACGAATAATTAATTATATTTATATTGTAAAATTAATTTGTTTTACTTTATACATTGAAAAACGCGACACAAAACCGATCAATAAGGTACGCATTGTGGTATGTGTTTTGTTTTTATAACCAAAACTTTTATTGTTACAGAAAATTTGCAGCATTGCGGAAAAATTGCATTCCTAGAATAAAACCAATTCAGGTGAGTAAATTATTAATTAATTAAAAAGTGAACAAATCTAGTTAGTTAACTAATATTTAATATAAGAAATTATGTTTTAGATTGATAAAAATGCAATTTAAACATAATTATGTTGGAGGTTCAAGACGATACATGGATTTTGATTGGTATTGGTATACCATCGTTTGTTGGAGAGATTTTGCCTCATTTTCACTCATAATTTGTAAACGTTACAAAGAACGATTGGTGGAGCATCGACAGATTCTATTGCAAGATTTTGTATATTGGGCTTGTCGTCATCCGGTACTGTGACAATGCGAAGTGTGGCATCATTTTTTGACCTGCTACTGTGACAAGATGTTGAAATCAAGCATAAGGAAAGCCAACCGTGACACATATGTAGGAGTCTCTTATTGTTGGGCCATATCTCTTAGCATTATCCAATGACACGGCGAAACGTTATGAAACACAATGTAAAAAATAACTGCAACGTATTGTTGATGGCAGGTCGGACCTGGCAAAGGCCTTAAATAGAGACGAGCGTCGTGCACCCTTAAAAACAACATCGTTATCGGAAAGTGTTGGGCGTAAAGTTCGCCTCGGATCGGAAAGTTAAACCATAAATTAGACTCGATACTATTTACAGACCGTTTTTAGTTCTACAGTCAATACGACACGAGAGTTAGTCTATTTTTAGTTACATATGCCTCAGGAATGAAGGAACCTTGTGCCTAGCTTGAAGATACCCAAAAGCCAATATTTCAGTATTTCCTAACTGGTATTAGAGTAATTAATCTAATTGCTGCCCCGCTTGTCAATCTCGATCATAAATAGTTTCATTTTCTATGTATTTTTTTATTTCAGAGGCGTCCTGAACAGTTTTCCTGACATTATTTCAACACGAATGCGATTGGTTAACATCTATGCAAAAGATGAGCAATGACCAGATGACCGATGTGAATCGTCGCACCAATGTTAGTTCCTATGCTGTAATAGCTGA